TAAGTTCTATTCTAAAAAATAAAACATAGATTCTCTTAAACTTATTTTTAAGCATTGATTCTTTAAAATATGGACGATCTTATATTTTTAATAAATGTGTCTATTGACATTTAAACTTGATTAATCATCTAAATTGTTTATTAGACAGAATTGTTCGACAATATTAAGGGTCTGTTTGGTACAGATTCTCATTTTTCACAGTAAATCAATTTTCATTTTCAATCACACATTTTTCAATAAAATAATATTTTTTATCGCATCAATACTTTTTTCTTCTTTTTTAACCACATATTTCCCATCATATCACTATTTAAAAATCAATTCTTCCCCCAAAAATCCCTACCAAACACACTCTAAACAACACGAATAAGATTTTAAGAGCATGTTTGAGTCCCGTTTTATTTTAAGAATGCATTTTGCAATAGTAGATTGATGGAGAATGTCTGGTTAAAAAAGAAGAATTTTTTTTTGAGTTTGCATATAATATTATTTTATTAAATAATGTACGATTGAAAAGAAAAGAAAGAAAAATGTATTTTAAAAATAATAAGAATCAAACAAGAGCTAAATATTGTGCACTACGCAAATAGGATTTTAGAACAAATTTCAGAAACATCCCTAAAGTTTATGACATTACGGAGACACCCCTTATTTTTCAAATATTTTCGACCCCTTAATATAAATTTCTCACTTTGTCATCTTATCTTATACTTGTATATATAATTATATTTGTTTTCTTATTTAATCTTAATCATATTTTTTTTGTGAGTATTGATTTTTCATTTAACCCTTATTTGAGCCTCATTTTGGTGGGATAGTAAATTTTTGGAGAATGTGTGATTAAAAAAAAAAAACTAAAATTTTCAATTTACGTCTAAAATTATTTTATGAAAAAATGTGTGATTAAAAATAAATTTTGAAAAAAAATGTGTTTTTTAACAAATGGGGTTCAAACATAGGCTTAATATACAAACTAAACCTTTGATGCCACTGTTCTGCATTTTTATATCATAATATTATTTTAATTTTCTAAAGTTAGTATACCATAAATTCAAAGAGTATTAAAATACAAAAAATAAAGGAAATGCT